GGTTCAGCCTCCTGATGAGTCGGTGAAACTCCGACGAAACAGTTTGTCACAGCCCCTCGTTTGTTGTCCTCTTCTCTCTCTCTGCCTAAGGTTTAGCAGGCAGTTCTGGTTGTGACGATATATGCTACGACTTCGCTAGCTTCCTGCTACGGTTTATTCCGGTCAGGTCGAGCGGCAGTGGTCGGGGCCGTTACTAGGCGGCCATGATGTGCCTCTAGTGCCAGCGGCGTGTCTGGAGTGTATTTTTTGGCTGTGACAGACCTTTCTTTGTTTCGTGGATGTTTTGCTGGCTTCTGATGGGGTGTGAACCGACAGTCTGTAGGGTTTTCCATCTCGTGTGGGTGAGTGATAGTCTACTTTGATTTTGGTTAAGGTAGATTATCACTTACAGTGTAATCAATGAGGGGATTCTGCAGACTGTTGAGGGTTCAGCCTCCTGATGAGTCGGGTCCGACGCTGTGTGGACCTACCGGCGTTTCCGGAGATGCCGTTTCGGGCAACAGCGGAGGTGGGAATGAAGGGTGTAACGTAGTAGACAAGGGACGAAGTGCGACTAATCTTCCTCCTGAAGAGGACCGCGTGGCGGCGGTCAAAACCGGTCGGGGTGCTATGACCCACCGGCTCAAGCAATTATCAGTTTATCAGTATACTCTGCTCTTTGTAATGCTCTGTAGCGTTTCATTTGAGTGTGACGTGTACGTGTGAACACCTTGTGTTATGCATGTGTAGTTGTGAACACCTTGTGTAATGCATGTGGTGATCACCTTGTATCAGTGAACCTACATATCTGTAAATTTTCAGGGCATTTTTCAATGCCAAAAAATAATTAAAAATCGGCAAAGATGGCGTGTCGAAAAGGTGCTGGCACACTCACTCATTTTAATTCTCTTTTTTTTTTTTCTTTTTTTTATCATAGTGTTTATTTTCTGTATTTGATTTTTTAATTCAAATTTGGTAAGGAATTTGGATACAGTGCCCAGGCAAATGTTGTTTAGTTTATTTTTCTCCATAACATATCGTTTTGGCGGAAGTTTTTGAAAACTTGAAAAGACCAAGCACTATGCAATCATCATTATTATACTACCGACAGATAGTCTAATTGCACTTTCCTTCGTACAGCTACTACTCCACCCAAGTCCCGCAACGTCCTACAACGAAAGTGTCCGGCTAGAACCTACCGGACTCACAACATGATAGAGGGCTGCACACCCTGAACCCTGTGTATAGCCTGACGTTGGCAGCCAAGCGTCAGCGGGCCCATGCCTGCACCCAAAGCCAAAAACGAATAAAACCAAAAACATGAAACAAACGAACAGCGAGAACAATCCTAAAAAAGCAACGCCGAGAACCATCCTAACCGAGCCAAAAACGAAACGTCGGAAACATTCCTAAACAATCGTACGGAACGGAAAAAAATTATCAAACAAAACACATCCAAAACCAGGATCAGCCGATCGAAACCCTGCCCTTCATCAAACGGAAAAAACCCTGTCCCTCCATCAAATGGAAAAACCCTGTCCCTCCATCACAGCAGGGTTAGTCCGTCTGACCAGGCATTTACCTGGACAGCCACTCATCGGACAAGGTCCATCTATGCTACGTCTACGATGCAAGCTTACTAACCGATCGTGCCTCGATGGCACTACAAACCAGCATATCTCCTCAAACAGATCATGTGCTAAGCTACGTACTCCGCCATCGTCTTGTACATATGAAAAACACCCTCACGTCGTAGGGCCACCTATACTCATACAGGACAACAACACTTCCTAAAGACATACACACGTACACACTACTCATACAACCAACGAAGAGTCTCAGACAAAATCTTATCGCGGCCTTTTGCAAAACATCTTGACACCCGCTCGAAGAATCGCGGGGGGAATTCCTTCATCTGGTGTTCTCGATACAAGGTCAACACCCGCATCGGAATATGCGTTCTGATGCTAGTATTCATGTTAATCCTGTGTAGGTGACTCGCAATAACAGCGCTTTTCTGTTGTTTACAACCCCACGAACGAAATGATTAGCCAGTTTTGAATTCCAGGCAGTCTCCATCCCAAATAGTCCGCTCGTTCTTAGCCGACTGAACACATCCGACATAAGGAGGAATCTGGCTAATGCACATTGTCGTCCCCAGGAAGTCCCACTGATCCGGCTTATCGTTGGTCCGCTTGAGTTGCAAGTTCTTAGGATAGCAGTGTTCGAAGTAGTCATGAATCTCCTCAATCGGCAGGTTACACTTACGGTTAATGACGATCAGGCTCACATCGTCCATCAAGCGCAGACCAAACACATCCAATTTAGACTTCCCTAGGCCGGTCAGGAACAGATGTTCCGCATGGGCACACATGATACAAGCGAGTGGGGGGCTTGTGCTCTTGCCCATGGGAATGCCCACCAGCTGTCTGAGTAGCAAACCGATCGCCCTGGTGTACGTGTGCTCCAGTTCAAGGCGGACAAACTGCTGCACGAAACCCAGCCCAATCGGCCTCCAATGATCGTCACCTGTGGTACGTCCAAACGTGCTCCCTTTGCCACGTGGGTTTACACGAACAACCTGGTGACCCTTCTCCATATGGTACTTGACGATCCAATCCACAGCATCGATAATGTCTTCGTGAGGGAGTTTGTTGAACATATCTTTGATGTCATATGACATCACGGACACTTCAGCGCCTCCAATTATGTGCCCAATCTTCTTATTGATGCTCTCAAGGCGAGGTACCAGCGATGCCACCGATTTCAGGTTAAAGTGTCAGCTGATAGGTAGCGTGTTCATCAAATGGTTAAGAACCTTAGCCACAACTTTACACGTCCTTACCGTCGACTCAGCATACATCGGACATATAGGTTGATATCTCACCAACTCCTTATGCTTTGGCAGAGCGTATGCCTCGCCAAAGTGCCCTTTGTTGTCCCATCTCACAAAACGTTGCAGACCCAACTCCTTCGCGTCCGCCTTCATCCTAGTCATAAGCACTTGCTCCGACTCTGACATCACTGTGTAGCCAGGGCTACGAACAAACAACTCCAACATGGCCTCGTAGTATACCCTCGGACAGAGCACCAGGGTTTCCCCTGGGTTGCGGTCCAAAGGCGTCAGCACCAACCCAGGCAAACGTTGCTTCAGATCCCCTACCGTATCCATCTCTAAACACTTAGATTTCAAAACTGGTGCCGCCGTCAGACACTTAGCGACACGGTCTTCACGAATCACAAGCGGTACACCTTGAAAATTCGACCAATCATTCACCCCATCTGATACTTCCCTCATCAGAAGTTTCGCTCTCTCCGGATGATTCTGCTTAGGCGCATTGTTGGCATTACACAGCAGTGGATGCACCTCATCCAACTCCTGTAGTCGGCACTGCACGTGACCTCCCATCCTAGGATAGGGAAAACCTGCGCAGGTGCAGGTTAACACATCAGCTTTAGAAAACTCGTGCTGATTGTGTATCAAATCTGCCACAGATGGGTTTTTCACCCAAACAATGCGTACACCGTTCCATGCAACGTACTTCATACACAGAGGTAGATCAAGGTCTCCGATGACATCATTCACCAACTTCCAGACTTCCACCAAGTGAATCCGGTCGTCGAATTTCAATCGCACAATCATTCTCGCATTAAGGTTCCACCCATAGGTGTGCTTGATCGATCTTGACACCAATCGACGAAGGTAAGCAGTGGTAGACTGCTTCTGGAAATCAGCTGCAACACCATTTAGCCGTACCAATACCTCCAGGCTACAACTATTCAATATATCAGTTCTCCGTGGGTTTCGCAGCAAGGAGGTGAGGAATTGCTTATCAGGTCCGGCTTTCGGTCTCCACCGGCGTAGCTGGCTCACCTCAACCGGTGTGCCTAGCTCCACAACCGCCTTACATTCACTGAGTTTGCAGTTAGTGCCCTTAACCTTCACGATGGAGCGGCCAAATGCGTTTCGAACCGACTTCCATCCGCCGCACCAGACGCTGCCACCACTCGTGTAGAGTGTAAGGCGTCGGCAGCCTCGCTCCTCCTGTGTCAACAATAATTGGTACAAGTCAACACTCAAGTCATCGGTCTCACAGACACATGCTTTGACAGGTATGACCGCCTTCGGCTCATAGGCCGGTGCTTCTGAGCGCTTGCTCCTCTCCCGCTTACCTTCACGGCGACGTCCGCTACGCTTCCTGGGCCTTGTGCACTTCCCCGTCGTGTTAAGTATCAGGCTTCATCGGCTAATGAAAGCCTGCTCCATCAGCGGCAGATCCTTACTGCTACATCGGTCGACAGGCAGCGGAACATAGGAATGATAACCAAACACCCGCCACCATCTGTATAGGTGGTTCCTCTTAAGCCCTCTATTACAGGCGGAGACATGCTCCCTCCACCTGACTTTCCCACCACGACTGGTCTAACCGACGTACATGGTTTTACATGTAGGAGAAGTAAGCACATAAACACAGCTATCATCTTTCATAAAACCATCCATACCATATTGTGAATAGATATTCACCCAAGATTCGACGCACGTGTTCAACCACCAGACTTCACCCATCAAAGCGAGCGTAATGACTACCAGACGGTATACCACATCGGTATTATCGTCACATCCATACTTATTTCGAAAGTAAATCAAGCGACGACATAGGGACCTAAGACTGTCCGAACTTCACTCATCCTCTCCGCCAGAATCGTCCTCCTCTTGCGCATCAGCTTCGTTACCTTCCAAAGTCACTTGTTCCGGTTCATTCTTCTTTTCGTCAACTTCAGGGTCATAAGCGACCCGCGTGCGCTTGTCGGCGATGGCCAGAATAGTATGCAGCTTACGGCCTTCCCATTGAACATCCTCTAGTTGACAGATCTTCTTGATCTCGTCCACTGATAGGGCGCCCAGCTGGCGCAGATTCTCCGTCACGTACTTCAGTTTTCCGCTGGAACCGCCTCCAGCTGGAATTTTCTTTCTTGACGTGGCAGCCTTCGGGGTAACACCCGGTGAGCGCTTCATCGGAGGGTGTCTACAACTTAGATGCGGGCGGCGCTGCGCTGGACGTTTCGCCGGGGTCATCATTGGTGGACTTCCTTCCACCGGAATCTCAGGACCCCACTTTCTTTTTTCGGAAATGATGAGTTGCTCGGTCTTGCTGTACAATCCTTCGATATCACCGTTGTCCGAGTCATAGGATCCTTCATCCGACAACGCCCCCGTCACCGTCGTCCGACATGCAAAGAAATTCCTCTTTTTGCCTCCCACATGCAAAGAAATCGCTCCTTTGCCTCCCACATGCAAAGAAATTCCTCTCTTTGTATCAATTCCTCTCTCAGTCCTCCCACATGCAAAGAAATCAAGGCCAACATCTCCTTACGAAATCGCTCCTTTGCCTCAGCTTCACGCCGCAGTCTGTCCTCCTTCTTACTACGCCGTCGCTCTTCCGCTGAACGCGCTTGTTCCTCCGCACGACGCTCCTCTTCCTCACGCAGCTTCCGTTCAGCTTGCTCCTGCTTACGTTTAGCTTTTTCCAACTTCTTAGCATTCTCGATCTCCACGAATTCCTTCATCGTGGCTACCGTGCTGGCTAGATCCTCCAGCTGACGACGTAGTCCAGGTTCTTCGGAGGCCAACCGCTGTTCAAACAGCCGGTCTCGTTGCCGTGGTGACATCGATCGTCCGCGATATCCGCCAGCCCTGGAGCTCCCTTCGTCGAGGAGTCTCGGACACTGGTTACGATAATACCCAGGCTCCCCACATTCGAAACACATTGGTGCGATACGTCTTGGATGATCTCAATAGCTCCCCTACCGGCTAGTCCCGCCGGGTTCCACTGAGCGTTCGCGCTGGGTCTCATTCCCCCGCTGACGTCCGCTCTCAGATCTCCCCTCATAATAGCGATCATGTCGGCGATCACGATAATCACCGCGCCCCTCGTCCCGGTGTTCGGACATACTGCCGCAGCCGATTCTTCCAACGTATCTCAATTCGAAGGACACCGACAGTACGTCGAAATCAGTGAGTCCCACAGCGTTCTTTCACCTACCTCCCCAGCAGACGTCATTTTGATCTTACCCTCACACCTTCCCCAAAACTTCCTTCGTTAGTAATTCACGCGTACGTCAACAAACGTCCCGAATTGTCAACATCACAAACCACCACGTCACAAAAACGTGCTCACACTCGCTCGGCCTACATCTCCCAACGGGTTCACACGAGCCTTCAGCAGGTTCACTGATACAAGGTGATCACCACATGCATTACACAAGGTGTTCACAACTACACATGCATAACACAAGGTGTTCACACGTACACGTCACACTCAAATGAAATGCTACAGAGCATTATAAAGAGCAGAGTATACTGATAAACTGATAATTGCTTGAGCCGGTGGGTCATGGCACCCCGACCGGTTTCGACCGCCGCCACACGGTCCTCTTCAGGGGGAAGATCATTCGTACTTCGTCCCTTGTCTACTACGTTACGCCCTTCATTCCCACCTCCGCTGTTGACCGAAACGGCATCTCCGGAAACGCCGGTAGGTCCACACAACGTCAGACCCGAAAAGACCAAGCACTATACAATCATCATTATTATACTACCGACAGATAGTCTAATCGCACTTTCCTTCGTACAGCTACTACTACACCCAAGTCCCGCGACGTCCTACAACGAAAGTGTCCGGCTATAACCTACCGGACTCGCAACACGACAGAGGGCTGCACACCCTGAACCCTGCGTATAGCCTGACGTTGGCAGCCAAGCGTCAGCGGGCCCATGCCTGCACCCAAAGTCAAAAACTAACAAAACCAAAAACATGAAACAAACGAACAGCGAGAACAATCCTGAAAAAGCAATGCCTAGAACCGTCCTAACCGAGCCAAAAAACGAAACGTCGGAAACATTCCTAAACAATCGTACGAAACGGAAAAAATTTATCAAACAAAACACATCCAAAACCCGGATCAGCCGATCGAAACCCTGCCCTTTATCAAACGGAAAAAACCCTGTCCCTCCATAATCAATAACTCATTAAAATTGTTTCAAAAAATAATAATTTTTTTAAGGCCCCGAAATAAAGTGAAACCAAAAACTTAAAAGTGAAAAAAACACAAAATAGCGAGTGGGCGAGCACGTTTTGACACCCCCATCTTTGACAATTTTTATTGTTTTTTTGGCTTAGCAGAATGGCTTCAAAATTTATAACGTGTAGGCTACATCATAGAGAACTCACAAAAAAAAATTCAGAAAAAAAAATATATTTTTAGGCCCCAAAAAGTTTTTTGGCGCGGGCCGAACCTGGAGGTGTTCGGCCCCCGAACGGGACCCCGAACGTTCGGTCAGGAAACTCTCTATTGTAAAATTATTCTATTTTTCTAATATATAGTATGCATTATTCATCATAAACGCTTTCAATTTATATATCTTTGGCGAAGACTTGGGAAGGGCTAGCGGGTAAGATACCCTAAAAAACGACTAAGTTCCCAAAGAAGAAAAAAAAGAAAAGTAAGTGTAATCTTCGGCGAAGACTAGGGGAGGGCTAGCAGGTGGGATACCCTCGGAAAATACTAATTTACCAGAGAAAAAAAAAAAGAAAAAAAATTGTAATCTTCGGTGAAGACTTGGGAAAGGTTAGCTGGTGAGATACCATAAAAAATGACTAAGTTCCCAAAAAAAAAAAAAAAAAAAAAAAAAAAGTGTAATTTTCGGCGAAGACTTGGGGGGGGCTAGCAGGTGAGATACCCTAAAAAACAACCAAGTTTCCAAAGAAGAAAAAGAAGAAAAATTAGTGTAATTTTCGACGAAGACTTGGGGATGGCTAGCAGGTGAGATACCCTAAAAATTGGCTAAGTTCCCAAACAAAAAAAAAGAAGAAAAATAAGTGTAATCTTCGGCGAAGACTTGGGGAGGGCTACCAGGTGAGGTACCTTAAAAAACGGCTACGTTCCCAAAGAAAAAAAAGAAGAAAAAAAAGTGTAATCTTTGACGAAGTTTTGAGGATGGCTAGTAGGTGAGATACCCTAAAAAACAACTAAGTTACTAGAGAAAAAAAAAAGAAAATAAGTGTAATATTCGGCGAAGACTTGGAGAGGGCTGGAAGGTGAGATACCCTAAAAAACGACTAAGTTCCAAAAAAAAAAGAAAAAAGTGTGATCTTCGGCGAAGACTCGGGGAAGGCTAGTAGGTGAGATACCCTAAAAAATGACTAAGTTCCAAAAGGAAAAAAAGAAGAAAAATAAGTGTAATCTTCGAACGAAGACTTGGGAAGTGCTAGCAGGTAAGATACCCTAAAAAATGACTAAGTTCCCAAGGAAGAAAAAGAAGAAAAGTAAGTGTAATCGTCGGCGAAGAGTTGGAAAGGGCTAGCAGGTGAGATACCCTCGAAAAATATTAATTTACCAACGAAAAACAAAAACAAAAAAAAGTGTAATCTTCGACGAAGACTTAGGGAGGGCTAGCAGGTAAGATACCCTAAAAAATGACTGAGTTCCCAAAGAAGAAAAATAATAAAAATAAGTATAATCTTCAGTGAAGACTTAGGGGGGACTTGCAGGTGAGATACCTTAAAAAACGGACAAGTTCCCAAATAAAAAAAAGACGAAAAAAAAGTGTAATCTTCGACGAAGACTTGGGGATGGCTAGCAGGTGAGATACCCTAAGAAACAACTAAGTTCCCAGAGAAAAAAAAGAAGAAAAATAAGTGTAATCTTCGGCGAAGACTTGGGGAGGGCTAGCACGTGAGGTAACAAAAAAAACGACCAAGTTCCCTAGGAAAAAAAAGAAGAAAAATAAGTGTGATCTTCGTCGAAGATTTGGGGAGGGCTTGCAGATGGGAAACCCTACAAAACGGCTAAGTTCTTAAAAAAAAAAAAAAAAAGTGTAATCTTCGGAGAAGACTTGGGGAGGGTTAACAGGTAAGATACCCTACAAAACGACTAAGTTCCCAAAGAAGAAAAAAAAGAAAAATAAGTCTAGTCTACCCTAAAAAAAGACCACGTTCCCAAAGAAAAAAAAGAAGAAAAATAAGTGTAAGACTTGGGGATGACTAGCAGGTGAGATACCCTAAAAAAACGACTAAGTTCCCAAAGAAAAAAAAAAGAAAAATAAGTGTAATCTTCGGCGAAGACTTGAGGAGCGCTAGCAGGTGAGATACCATAAAAAACAACTAAGTTCCCAAAGTAAAAAAAGAACAAAAATAAGTGTAATCTTCAATGAAGTTTTGAAGATAGCTAGTAGGTGAGATACCATAAAAAACAACCAAGTTACCAGAGAAAAAAAAGAAGAAAATAAAGTAATCTTCAGCGAAAACTTGGAGAGGCCTAGCAGGTGAGATACCCTACAAAACGACTAAGTTCCCAAAAAAAAGAAAAAAAGTGTGATCTTCGGTGAAGACTCGGGGAGGGCTAGCAGGTGAGATACCCTAAAAAACGGCTAAGTTCCCAAAGGAAAAAATACGAAAAATAAGTGTAATCTTCGGCGAGGACTTGGGCAGTGCTAGCAGGTAACATACCCTTAAAAATAACTAAGTTCCCAAAGAAGAAAAATAAGAAAAGTAAGTGTAATAGTCGGCGGAGACTTGGGGAGGGCTAGCAGGTCAGATACCCTCAAAAAATACTAATTTACCAAAGAAAAACAACAGGAAAAATAAGTGTAATGTTCGGCGAAGACTTAGGGAGGGCTAGCAGGTGAGATACCATAAAAAACGACTAAGTTCTCAAAGAAAAAAAAGAAGAAAAATAAGTGTGATCTTCGACGAAGACTTGAGAAGAGCTAGCAGGTGAGATACCCTAAAAAATGACTAAGTTCACGAGAAAAAAAAAAAAAAAAAAAAAGTGTGATCTTTGGCGAAGACTTGGGGAGGGCTAACAGATAAAATATTCTTAAAAACGACTAAGATCCCAAAGAAGAAAAATAAAAAAAATAAGTTTAATCTTCAGCGAAGACTTGGGGAGGGCTAGCATGTGAGATAACCTCGAAAATGACTAAGTTTCCAAAGAAACAAAAGAAGAAAAGTACCATAAAAAACGACCAAGTTCCCAAAGAAAAAAAAATAAAATAATAAGTGTAATCTTCGGCGAAAACTTGGGGAGGGCTAGCAGGTGAGATATCCTAAAAAACAGCTAAGTTCCCAAAGGAAAAAAAGAAGAAAAATAACTGTAATCTTCGGTGAAGACTTGGAGATGGCTAGCTCGTGAGATACCCTCAAAAAACGACTAAGTTCCCAAAGAAAATAAAGAAGAAAAATAAGTGTAATCTTCGGCGAAGACTTGAGGAGGGCTAGAGGGTGAGATACCATAAAAAACGACTAAGTTCCCAAAAAATAAAAAGAAGAAAAATAAGTGTTATCTTCGGCGAAGACTTGGGGAGGGCTAGCAGGTTAGATACCTTAAAAAACGGTTAAGTTCCTAAAGAAAAAAAAGTAGAAAAATAAGTGTAATCTTCAGTGAAGTTTTGAAAATGGCTAGTACGTGAGATACCATAAAAAACAACCAAGTTACCAGAGAAAAAAAAGAAGAAAAGAAGTGTAATCTTTAGCGAAGACTTGGAGAGGGCTAGCATGTGAGATACCCTAAAAAACGTTTAAGTTACCAAAAAAAAAAAAAAAGTCTTATCTTCGGGGAAAACTCGGGGAGGGCTTGCATGTGACATACCCTAAAAAACGGCGAAGTTCCCAAAGGAAAAAAAGAAGAAAAATAAGTGTAATCTTCGGCGAAGACTTGGGAAGTGCTAGCAGGTAAGATACCGTAAAAACTAACTAAGTTTTCAAAGAAAAAAAAAAAAAAAAGTAAGTTTAATCGTCGGCG